AGTTTTATGGGGACTCCTTTGTAGGGAACTCTCTCCTTTTTTTCCTGCTGCTTTTAAGATCCTCTTTATCTTTAACCTTTGGCATTTTAATTAAGATATGTCTTGGCGTGGTCCTCCTTGCATCTATCTTTTTTGGGACTCTCTGTGTTTCCTGGGCTGGCATGTCTGTTTCCTTCACTAAATTAGGGAAGGTTTCTTGCATTGTTTTTTCAAATAAGTTTTCCATTTCTTGATCTTTCTCTTCTCCCCTCCAGCACACCTCTGAATCGAATGCTGGAATGCTTGAAATTGTCCCAGAGGCTCCATACCCTATCCTCATTTTTTTTTCCTTCCTGCTATTCTGATTGAATGTTTTTTTTCTTCCTAATGTTCTAGATCATTGATTTGATTTTCGTCATCCCCACTCCACTGTTGATGCTCTGTAAATTTTTATTTCACTTAGTGTAACCTTCAATTCTGCTTGGGTCTTTTTTATGCTGTTGAAGTACCCAATGAGTTCCTTGAGCATCCTAATAACCAGCATTTTCAGCTCTGCACCTGATAGAATGCTTAACTCTGTCCTGTTTTGTTCTTTTTCTGGAGTTTTGTTCTTTCTTTCATTTATGCCATATTTCTTTGTCTCCTCATTTTGGCAGCCTCCCTGTGTTTGCTTCCACATATTAGGTAGATCTGCTTTGACCCCATCTTAGTAGTGTGACCAAGTGTCAAAAGTGTACAATAAGTTGGATGGGGCAGAGCCTTAGGTAATCTCCAGGGCAGGGCAACCTGTGTGAACCAGGTTAATGGAGTCTCAGATATGGTGTCAAGCTCTGTGGCTGTGTGTGGGGCAGGACTTGGGAAAGGAATGATGGCTGCTGTCTGGCCTCTGGACTTTTGTCCAGGAGGAAGCTGTCCCCCAGTGCTCACCCTGATGCCAAACTCTTCAGTTTCTCCCCATATGCCACTGGTGCCCTTCCAGCTGCTGCCCCAGTTCTGGGGCCCAGAGAGAGTGAGTCGGAGTAAGTCCTAAGTTTTCTCTGGGCCCTTTAGGAGGAGACTCCTGAAAATCTCATGGTTTCCTCTGCTGCCCTAACACCCGCTGGTTTTCACAGCCAGAATTTATGGGGACTTATCTTCCTGACACTAGATGGTCTGAGCTGGGTGGTCTCTTTTGGGGCTGGGATCCCTCCCTCCCAAAATATCCCTCCCAAATTTTATCTACCACACATATGTATGGGGCCAGCCTGTTCTGTGACTCGGTGTCACCACATTTCCACCCCTCCTACCTGTCTGAATGAATGTGACTTCTTTAATTTCTTGGTTGTCGGACTTCATGCAGCTCACTTTTCTAATGGTTCTGGGTAATAGCTATTCTGTAATTTAGTTGGAATTTTTTGCTGTGGTTGTGTGAGGAGGCAAGCCATGTTTTACCTATGCTTCCGTCTTGACCGGAAGTCTACTCGATTCCGTCATCTTTTAAAAAATTTTGCTTAGATCAATAGAATATGGTAGAAGGCATTAATAAAGTCTTTTCCCTCTTCTGTATGGGAATCGAAGCTCTGGTGACCTTTTGGCTTCCCTTTTCCAGAAGCCTGATAAAAGTTTCCATCAGCTACATTGCTGTGGTAAAGGTGACCGCTGATTGTTAATTGCATCTGGACTTGAAAAACTGTAATGTCTGACAAGCAGCTATGGCTATGGTGTTTCAACAAGAAATGCTGCATCTCTGAGGCCAGAGGCTGGTTAACCAAGGCAGTGCTTACAATCAGCTGCTGTGAGTGTCTTTCCCTGCCTGGAGCTGACAAGTGGGAAACTTACAAGCAAAGCTCCTGTTAGCTGTTTAGACTGCCCCTCCCAAGGACGAAAGTGGTCTGCTGCCTTGCTGCCAAGTTGGGTTTCCTGCCTTATATCCATTGAAGTAAACTTGATGCCAGGTGCTCTATGAGGATCTCGAGCATCTGGATGTTTAGTTGGATCGTATATATCCCTCTGTAATCCTGTTGGGATTTTCAAATATGTAGTCAGAATAAAAATAAATAAAAACTAGCAGTCTGTTCCTCTTGGCTCCCCATTCCTCTGCATAGAGAGGCTACAACTTTCAGTTTATGCAGATGGTTTGTTCTGGTATTGACTTCCATGTTTCTAAATAAACCATTTATGACATATATTGTATGTTATGGATGAGAAATTTTCCTTCTATGCCACTTTCGCTCTCCATGTTCCCGTCCTCTAAGTTAATCAATACCCGGTATCACATAATTTCATATGTAAGAATATTTCACTGTGTAACCAAGTCAGTACTCTAATTAAATTTCCTATCTTACACTGTTTCTTTTGTTGTTTCTGGAGCTAATTGCTTTGACTTTTTAAAAATTTGTTTTGTTTTCTCTGTTCATACCTTTATTTTCTCCCATACCTTCTACACATTCTGTATCAGGTTTGTCAAAATATTTCCCAAATGTTCATAAATATAAAAGACCAATTATTAATTTGTTCATGGAGATTGATGTCATACACCTCTCCTTCTGATGTGATCTCGTTTCTGCTTTTCTGGCTGTCTTTTCACTGTATTCTGGGACTTTCATTGGGTTCTCTCCATTGTTTTTTTTTTTTAATTTTATATAAAAAATTTTATTGTTGACATTAATACAGATGTCTGTTCATTATTTTATTGAAGTTCCTGGATTTTGCTGGAGCACATCTAAATATAGCTTTATATAAAAGGTTCCATTGGAAGTGAAGACTTTGCATGCCTCAAAAATGTTTTTCAACTTTCACACTTACTTTTTTGTTTAGTTGAACATAGAGTTCTACATTGAAAGATAATATTTCCCTTAATGTAGGAATTATGACTCTCTTATCTAATGGGATTTAATGTAATTGATAGTTACTTCATAACAATTAAGACATTATCTTAGGCCATTTCTTAATGATATTCCTAGGTTTAGTTTGTTAGTAATCATATATGAATGCTGCTGTTTGGCAACACATAGGTTGAACTCTGTTGTTGGAAGATAACTCCTATGGTTTTCTTGCATCTTTATAATTCTTGTACTGGACTGCCCCTTCTAAGGATGTATGTACAGAAAACAGCCTTGGAAGCAGGAGGTATATCCCTCCATAGCCATGAGCAGGCATGCATACAGTCTGTACAGGAGACTTGCGTTCTGTAAGCTCAGATTTCTTCTATGTGTGCTGTTGAACCTGGCCCTTTTCACATCACCTTGTGAGAACTTTAGCTTGAGGAACAAGTGGATAAAAGAATGATATCCTGACTAATGCTATTGCTTTAATAAACTGTCCTTTGACTCAGACACAGACATCTTATTTCTTATGCTAGCATCCATGGAGCCGTGGCTGGCTAACTTGGCAGCTTTCATTGGGTAAAATCTTACACCCTTTGCAGCCCTTAACATTTATTTTCCTTTTTGAAAATTCCTTCAACTGGTAACCAATAGTGTTTTCCTCCTTCTGCCATTTACCTGATTGTACAGAGTGTTTGGTTGTTAATATTTTTAAAATGTGTTTTCTTATTCCAACATTTTACAATGAAAGTGCTTTGTGTACATAGAAGCACAACAAATACTGGGTTTTACGCAAGTTTCTAGTAAGTATTGGGTTGGCCAAAAAGTCTGCTTAGGTTTTTCCATAAAATAAGACACATTTTTCATTTTCACCAATAGCTTTATTGATTTAGATATTTTGAGTATGTTGGCTATCTCCTGCCTAGTATAATGATTATTGTTCTCAATTAATGCCTTGATTTAATAGCTATCAACTTCAGCTTGTCTACCTGACTGTGGAGCATTGTTCAGTGAGAAACTTTGCAGACCACTTTTGACATGTTTGATCAGTCACAGCACCTTCACCATGCCCTGAGCAAATCATTTTCTTGCATTTCAGTTGCAGTTTTACCTTTCTTAAAATAATAAAGTATAATATGCTGAAAATGTTGCTTATTTTCTTCCATCTTCAATATCAAAATGGCTACACAAAAATTGACCAATTTTGATTTTTTTTTTAATGCACAGTGATATGACAGCTGTCACAATACAGTGTAACAGAATTGTTTTGAATGAAGACAATTAAGCATTACTAGAGCTACTACTTGAAAACACCAAACAAACTTTTTGGCCAACCCAGTGTAAAGTAAGGCACGTTCTTGGGTGAAATTTCATTTGTTTCTGTGAACCATTACATTTATTTCACATGGCATCTTTTGGAGTGCCAGCATACTCACCCAATCCAAGTTTGTACCGCATGTTGTTACATACTTTTTACAAAATACTGCCTTCGTCAAAGGAAGGATTCAAGGATGGATGTTGACTATGTCCCTCTGTGTGCCTTCCCCTTACTTGGTCCTTCACTAGCAGAAGTAAACAGAAGTGGTTCTTTATCATTAAGATCTTAATGCCTTTACCATAACTCTAAATAGTCAGTTGGCTCATAGTAACCTTAAGTTAAATTTCATAGGATGAAGGATTTGAGTCAAGGATTTTACTTACTGCATACTCCTTTTGCCGAGATATGTTAGTGGAACTGAGGAACTGACAGATATGACTTTGCAGATTTTGATAGCCATTGAGTTATAATGGTCTCAGTTGTTTAATAAACATTTTAAACATGTTTCCTTAGTGTCATGTACATATATTTATTAATATATTAATATATTTATATTATTAATATAACATTGTAGTAACATACAATTGCTTCCTAAAACATACATCAAAAAGTGAAGTAAAAATGATAAGAAAGCTAACATTGAGTAGAAGTTCTAATGTTTTCTTATTGGTATAGTATCTTGTTTACCTCTTGGGTGCTAACTCTGAAGACTGTTTCTTTAAAATGCAACTTTTCATAACCACATCCATCTTATGATTAAAGGCCATCGTGCCTAGGGGAAAGACCTTATTATAACATGATTATAGTGCTTATTGGACTCCATTTTTATGCAGTTTTCTTCCACATGATAGAATTAAGTCTAACACAGAGTGTACTTCTGTTTGTGTTGTGCTTTATAGGATGAGGATGGGGCAGAAGACAGCAGTCGTGTTGAACCTGTTGGACATGCCGACAGTGGTTTGGAGAACATACCCAACTTTTCTCTGGAGTAAGTTACTAATGGTTTTAATTAAATGTGTAGTATACATGCAGCATTAGATAGCAGCAAGTGTTCCAAAAACATATGGCATGCGTGGACTGTTTGTGCTGAGTTAAAAACATGGCTTGCATTTGTTTATTTTACAGAGAGCATCTTTCATCTATTGTGTTAATTATCTAATGTAAAAAGAATAGCATGAAAATCCATATGTACCTGTCCTGTTTCATGCCTTGCCAAATACTATTAAATTATAATATAAAATATCATTTGATTGTAAATATTTGTCATGTTTACAACACTGTTCCTGTTTTCAGATTATATGTCAGTAGTTTGGTCATTTGTTTGATCTCTAACTTTGCTAAATTAAAAAAAAATTATCAACATGCTTACTTTATATGAAAAATTAGTTTGTATCATGTAAGCATTAGCCATTTTAGCTTATTTAATTTGATTTGAAGAAATAGAATCTCTCAAGGTATTTGAAAAATAAGTCATATGTTAGGGACCTTGAACATGATTTTAAGGATAAAAGCATGAAGTAAGACTTTATTATCACAACTGTACAGTTGTCTTAAATATTGGCATGTTTAAATGGAAGAGGTTCTCAGGGAGGGTAGTATTCTAAATTTTTTCTTTGACTTTGGGTAAAAGTTAAGTGATCTTGATAATTAACATTTGAACTCTTAATTTTGTCTGCTTTTGGTCTTCCAAGGGAAGGCTCCAACGACTTCCTCAGTGGCATGAGGCACTGGAATCAGATTATGTTTGGATACAGAATTACCAGAGCAAAGTTTACATTTAAGAAATATTTGCCATGTCATAGTTATTTTTAGAAAGAATGTATCATAAAAATAATTATTATTTGGATTTTTGCCTTATAAAATCACTATGCACCAAAAAATAAAAAATAAAAAAAATAAGGCATTTACTAAATAATTGATAAATGAAGTTATGTAATATGAAAAAAATAATTATTAAAGTAACTATACTATTCAGTTGACAAACCAATCATTAAAAATATGTAAATGGTATTGGTATTAATAGTATCTAAATTAGGATGTTATAAAATTCTACAAAAATATGGAAAAATCCATTTAAATACTGTTACTTTAGTAGGGCAAAATTTTTGTGCTGTGCTAATTAGTTTATATGATTAAGTCTATGCTCTTATTTTCAATTTTGTTTTGAGTTCGGTGATAGTCCTATCTTTAATTTTCTTTAGTCCTATATAACCAAGATATTCATAGTTTATAGGATAACTTCAGATTTTTATTCAGCAAGTTGAAGAATTTGCATTTTCCATTATATAAAATTTGTGACCTTTGTCAAATCCATTGGTAATCATTTATGGTTTTCTGGATTACTTAAACTAAATATTTAATAAAATACTATTTCAAAATATTGATTTTTAGGTAAGTACCACTTAGATTTCTATGCAACACACACACACACACACACACAGAAAAGAAAATGAAATCTTATGTAAATGGTTTAGAAAATGTACATTCTCTAATTTTTTTAATTAAACTTGGGCTTACTACATTAATAGTAAAGTAGTTTAGTTACCAAAGTAACTTCATGTTACTCTATATAACTAGCTTCATAACTTCAAAGTTCATTTGCAAACACTTTTATGAAAATTATAGGTTTTTTAGTGGAAATCTATTGGCTTTGAGAAAGAAATTTCATAACTTGCACTTGCAGTGGTTTAAGAAAGGGTGACTTTAAATTGTGTGGATGGTGGGAAGTCAGAATTGTTGGGTCACATCAGGACTGTCACCTGTCTATAGGGGCAAAAAGTTTGACCTTATTGGATTATTGGAAGAGTCTACGATGTGACATATTTAGGAGCTCTTTGTAAATGATAAAGTGCTCTGTAGCTGCAACACTTTTATTCAGTTAATCTTCATTGTCCTTGAAGTAGACATTGAGATGGAAAATTTTCAGTGGGAGTCTATAGAGATTTGATTTGCAAAATGTATACTTGTATTACACAGAAGAGTGTGGTCTGAGAGAAATGGTTCTGTGTCATTTTTAATGTAGTTATTTCTGATGATTGCTCTCCCTCCATGCCATCAGACTAGTGTTCAGGTATGTAGTGTTTAATGTTGCCTTCATCACCATGCTTATATTCCAGAATGTGTACGAACACGCATGTGTGCTTGGTGGGAATTTTGTTTTCTTTTGTTGTTTGTGTATCTGTGTTGTTGTGTTTTTGTTTTGTTCTGTCTTGGTTTGGTTTGTTTACAGTCCATGTTCATGCTCCCTCATTCATCATTGTCTCACAGTGACATGGTAAAGCTCGTTCACGTCCCCAACGACGGAGGGCCTCTGGGAATCCATGTAGTGCCTTTCAGTGCTCGAGGCGGCAGGTAACGTACTGTGGAGGTTTTTAATTGAATCATAATGTGAAGTGTTTTATCTTCATTTAAGCTCAGATATAGAGTTGTGTTGATTTAGCATATCCTTAATGGAAACATTTTCATATGGGGGAAATGCCACTTCATTCATACATATACATCATAATCACAGAAAGCACTTAAGCTGATGAAGAAATCGAGCATTCAAATTATCCTAATAATTTTATTGTTCATTACATCCTTGCAGACATTTTACTTTGATGATAGACTTTAGAGTTAGAATACCAGGTGAATTTGCAAAGTTAAGGGAGGGAGCTTAAAGCAATTTTCTGGAAAAAAATTATCTGGATGATATAGGTCATTCATTTAGAATTATTTTTTATGTTTATTCAGTTCTTTAATTTTATAAGATTTTTATGATTATGTTTGACATTTTAAAAAGTTTGACAAGCTATAGATTTATTTCCTACCCTGTGGCTCGTGGCTCCTTCCCTTCAGTCTCTGTACATTCAAATGTCAAGCACTTTGTATTGTTCGTTAATCTCACTTTATTATTTTATAGGCCATATATCCTTAAAAACGTAGAATGTTCTATGAGTTTCTGTCATTCTGCTGCTTTTTTTCCTGTGGGAGAATTGTTTTTTGTTTTACTGTATTACATATTATAAAATTCATTTCGCAGCTAGTATTGGTGGGCTTCTGTGGTGGACAGTGAAGTGCCTTCCCAGGCATGTAAACTGTGCATAGTTAACTTGTTGAAATTTTATCATGTCCTCTTCTATTTACCCATCTAATGATTGCATAGTGAAATATATTTATGAACTGTATGGCTTCATCTTGTAATTGTCTTTCTTTTACTGTTACCATTTTACTCACTTTTTATTTTAACTTTATTTACACTGAGAGAAGGGGAAGCTGAACAGTTGCCTTAGACAAGTGACTGAGAACTTAGAACTGGTTTATACTCTGGCCAAGCAATTACAAGCATCATGTGTTGTAAAAGGCAAATGTAATATCAATTACAAGCATGTGATTAAGTTATCTGTTCAGATTTTTCGATGGGAATTTGAATAAGTCTATCCCTTCCTGGTGTGTCTTCCTAACTGTGGCCAAGTCCAGATTACATCTCCTTGGTAAAGCACATGCTTTATGGAGTGTCTGGACACTGAAACTTTGCTTTACCTAGAACTCTGCTGGATGGCGAGGTTTGAATGTTAGTGTTCTATAACAACATGTGAAATTCACCTTGAATTTGGAGGGGGTGGTATATTTACAGAGTTGTAGCTGCTTTCACTTTTTCCCTCCTCTTCTTTTTAAAGTTTTAAACTCTGAAGAAGCATTGAAATTTCTCCAAAGAACTTTCAGTTAAACAAGCTTAGTTGTTTTCAAAATGTCTCAACTTTATTTCCTTTAAAAAATATAATTAAAAAATACTTAAAGATTAAGTTAAAATGTTAAAAAATAAAAAAAAAACTTTAAATTCTCTCTAAAGCTAAATCTCTTTTTCCACTTATAAGTGGAAAAATGAGATAATATGCATTTAGGATTATAGCTTCCTAATATTAATGTCTTTCACTGCCTGTGGACTACAATATAGAACTCATCACAGATGAGACTTAATTGTTCATGTACCAGCTTTGAACCAGTATTTCAAGATAAACATGCTATTTTTGTCTTTATCACACATTTCTTACATCAGTGTGAAGAATATTAGGATAAAATAAATCAATCAAAAGCCTAAAGCAAAGAGAGAATAAGATAGAATGATAAACCTACTCTAAATTGACTCAATGGAAAGCATTTCACAAAATCCACCACAGTTACTGGTTATTATGGTGTTTAGTTTTGACATACAGAACACATGTAAGTAGACAAGTATCCCTTTGCAGACCTAGAAATTATTTTTCAGCTAAGTCATTTTTAATTCCTATTGATCTGACCTTTAATGAAGAAAATCTTGTGCAGCTTTCCTATGTAAGAACAAAGAGATTAATGAAATCAGATTCTTTATAAATCCTTTATAGGCATCACCTGTTTTCATATTGGGAAACAATTAATTTTTTTCTAATACCTGTGTTGCATTTTTAAACTTTCACATGACCTTGGTAGGTGATGGTTCTTCAGCGGTAGGTTGACAGTGGGAAAGAAACCCAGATAGGCTGCTCAGAATCATAGATACTAATCTTCAGGAGCCAGAAGCTTCCATCTCACTTGTTCTCAGAAGTGGCTACAAATGAGTCCTTATTCAGTTAGGTACCTTCCCTGGCACTGAGCCTGTGACCATGCATTGGTTAGGTGCTGGAAAACAAAGATGTACAGGACTTAGTCTTTGTCCAGGGACTTGCAGTTGAGGTGGAGTGATAGCCAAGAAATCACACAATTTGTGATAAATGTTGATATAGTCATATAGTAGATACTCTGTGAGCTGATGAATTATTGTCAGAATTAGGTAACTGAAGCTTGCTTTTAGGGGAAGATGAGTTTAAATGTGATGATAGCTTATAAAGGGAACTACATCCACTCCATGGTGGCTGCAAGCACAAGTTAGGCAATGTAGTATAGCAGAAAGGAAAATTATGTGGAACTTGTGAAGAAATTGCGCATATATCTAGTGGGAATACAAAAACGCACATTCATAAGATGTAAGTTGAAATTTTCAACAATAACTTTCCTTTTATAAAATTCTAATCCTGCTTGGGCTGTCTCAATTATGGCAATATAACTATTTGAATAACACTGAGTAATTATAGGCAAGCAGGTCCTTGGCTAAAATTGTTTTGTTCAACATTGTTTAGTTATAATGTTGGTGAGATGTGGTGGGAACTTCATGCAAATTGGTATCAATTAGCCTGTGGCAAAGTTGGTTGCGTTATACATCATTTTCAATGCAGTTTCAGGAACTTACTGATGATGTTAAGTGAAGACTCACTGTATACCTCCTTTTGTTGCACTTTGCTTTATTGCGCTTTGTGGATACTGTCTTACAAATTAAAGGTAAGAGCCTCCACCCACAAAAAGGTTATGACTTGCTGAAGGCTCAGGCAAATGTTAGTATTTTTAACGATAAAAATCATTTTTAATTAAGGTATGTACATTTTAAGAAATAATGCTATTGCACACTTACTAGACTACATGCAGTACAGTGAAAACATAACTTTCATATGGGAAACAAGTTTGTGTGACTTGCTTTGTACTGTGATATTTGCTTTATTGCATTGATTGCAACTGACCCTGCAGTATACCTGAGGTTTGCCTATAGTTTTGTAAAAGTAACACGTATGTCAGTGTTGCTTTCTCGTTTAGATTTCACGGTCAGTGAGTCTTAAGGAACAGTGCAGATGGGAATTATGTAGCATAATAAAGCAACACAGTGCAGAACATCTTGGATATCAAATATAATTCAGGAAAATAGAAAAAATGTGAAGTCAGTGTTAGAGAAAATTTTAAAGCCGCTTAGGTATAATTATGGGCTGAGGTATAATGAAGGTTTTTTGTGATGAAGTTTTTGCTGGACCTTCTTAAAAAGGCTGTTCTCTAGAATAGGTCGGGTGTTGTTGCTTGATTGGGGCATCAGTGACATCTGGCATGTGGGTTACTCATCCCCCAACCCCTGCTTCATATCTGCAGAAATGGAGACAAATAGATGAATAGAAAAGAATGCATTACCTTCCCTTTGATGTGATTTCTTATTAGTCATCATCTTGTATGCTACTCAAAAATAAAGTTAACCTATCCCTCTCCAGAACTCTTTATTCAATTTTTTTTACCTTGACGTCCATTTTTACTTCATACATATAATTTCATTTCATTTTGATTTAAATGCCCAACATAACTCTTATTTAAATCACAAATGTCACTACTTTCAGAAAGTCAATAATTGCCATTTCCTATAGCAGAAACTCCATGTTTTTAATATTTTATTGATAACGGGTTGGCCAAAAATTTTTTTGGTTTTTTTCTGTAAAATGACCCTGGTAGTCCTTAGTTGTCTTCAACTTCATTCGAAACTATTTTGTTAGATTGTATTGTGACAGCTCTCATAGCAGCGTGCATTTAAAAAAAACTCACCAAAATTAGTGAATTTGTTTGTAGTCATTTTTATATTGAAGATGAAAGAAAATAAACATTTTCAGTGTATTATGCTTTATTATTTCAAGAAAGGTAAAAACACAACTGAAATGCAAAAAAAGGATTTGTGCAGTGTTTGGAAAAAATACTGTGACCGATGAAACATGTCAAAAGTGGTTTGCAAAGTTTTGTGCTGAAGACTTCTTCCTGGACAATCAATTTGAGACATTAATTGAGAACTATCAATGTTATAGATAGCCGACATACCCAAAATATCCAAACTAATAAAGTTACTGGTAAAAATGAAAAATGTGTCTTTTATTTTACAGAACAAACAAAACGGACTTTTTGGCCCACCCATTACTTCTATGATGTGACCTATAGATACTGCTCAGTAAAAGAATGAATGAACATGGCATTGCTATATTAGAAATAAAACAATAAGGGCATAGCCTGCCTTGATAGTTCAGAGTTTTTCTGAGGCTTTCTAATCACAGAGGAAATATGATTATGATGCATTGTAATGCCAAGTATTTAAAAAGCAGGATATAAAGTAGTATACTGAAATAGGAGCTGGGCTTGTGAAATTATAAAAGTTTATATTTAGTTCAAAGAGACTAATAGTCAAAATGAGAAATGTACATATAAAAAGAGCCATGCTGTACGTCAAAAGAACTCTCTCTACCTGTGTCACAGGGATTCAGAGGAAGTAGGACTGTTGAATGTTGGATGCTATGGAAAACCTTAGTGAAGCAATAGAACTGGAGAGGTTGTTAGAAAGCACTCTGTGAATGGCTGTGAGACTTAACTCAGTAAATAATGGAGAAATTATTGAAGTTTTTCAAGAAATATGATTGTATCATTTTTAAGTAACTATTTTCCTACTTGGAACCCACAGTCTAACTTATAGTAGATAATCTAAATCTTTTCTCCGGTGAAAACAA